AGAGGGTCTTCCCCTCCTGCGCTGTCCCTCCACCCTCCCAAGCATGATGTCCCTCTCCAAGGACCCGTCCCTCCTGGCAACATGTCTGTATGCAGACCAAATAATTCTAGAAGTTAAACTATATGGAGAAGAATGTGGCATCGGGATTGGAGGAAGATGCATCAACAACCTGCATAATACAGATGACACAACCTTGTTTGCTGAAAGTGAGGAATAAGCTTAAAATGCTTGCTGCAGAAGATCAAAGACTACAGCTTTCAACAGGGCTTATATCTCAACTGTGAGAAAACAAAAGTCTTCACCACGAGGCCAATAGGCAACATGATAGAAGATGGAGAAGAGAGAGAATTTGTTAATGAATTTGTCAATGGCTTGGAACCACAACCAACACCCTTGGCAACAGCAGTCAGGGGATCAAAAGAAGTATTGTGTTAGGAATTTCTGCTGTCAGGGACCTCTTCAAAGTGCCAAAGACCAACGATGTCAGTTTGAAGACTAAGGTGCACTTGATCCACACTAAGATCTTTTCAATCACTTGGTATGCATCTGAAAGTTGGACAATGAGTAAGGATGACAAGAGAATCGATGCCTTTAAGCTGTGGTGTTGGAGAAGAGTGCTGAACAGCCCATGGACTGCCAAAAGGACAAACAGGTATGTGTTGAAATGGTGCAGCAAGGTCACTTCTTACAGACAGAGTGACATTCCGTCTCACGCACTTGGACATGTTGTGTAGAGGGGGCGGTCTGTGGAGAAGTAGGACATCACATTTGGAAAGGTGGAGGGTTAGCGAAGAAGGGGAAGACCTCCAATGACACAGTGACTGTACCAGTGGCCTTGAGTGTGTCAGAGATGATGAATGTAGTACAGAATTGAGCAAGGTTCAGGTCCATTGTTCACTGGGTCACAATGAGTCATTAGAAGGCACTTAACAACAACAATACCTGTGATTAGAATCCAGTTTGGCAAAGAGTTGTGTTTGTTAGGTTAATGAGGTAAGATTAGTGTAGGGTGTGCTTTTCACCAATCTCTTGTGAGATAGAAAAGAGACTAAACTGATATTAAACAAGCAATCTAGGAAACAGAAATGGGGAAGAAAGACCCCAGCCCACATGAAGATTGCCCAAAAAAGTCAAGCCCAGAAGAGACATGAATGTTCCTCCAGAACCAGCACAGAGAGGATTGTCCAAAAGCAAAGCCCAGAAGAGACACGAACATTTCTCCAGAATCAGCATAGACAGTAAGTCTTCCTCTCCCCTAGAACCAGTGTCCTGAATTTGGAATTGCAGCTTCCTGAACTGTGAGAAAAGAAGTTACTGGTTTTGAAAGCCACTGTAGCTACACAACGTAAGTAATAGAAGATTGGGTACCAGAAGAGTGGGCTGCAGCTCTGAATTAAAAAGAAAAACAAACAAAAAAACCTACGAACAAGCAAAAGCCCAAAACCCAGCCACAAACCCATTGCTCAATCGATTCCAAGTTGGGACTGACTCAGATCTGACCCTCTGATGAGTTTTCAGAGGCTGCTCATTTCTCTTCCATCTCGAGCCTGCGTTAGAACCGCCTGACTTTGAACTGGCAGCAAAACTCATCCACTTGGATAATGGGGAGAGAACTGGAAGTATTTGAAGGTGCCTAATAGTAAAAGAAAGAAAGAAAGGAGAGAGGAAGAAGAAGAAGAAGAGAGAGAGAGAGAGAGAGAGAGAGAGAGAGAGAGAGAGAAAGAAGAAGAAGAAGAAGAAGAAGAAGAAGGAGGAGGAGGAGGAGGAGGAGGAGGAGGAGGAAGAAAAAGAAGAAGAAGAAGAAGAAGAAGAAAAAGAGGAGGCAGAGGAGGAGGAGATCAGGAGATGTATTAATTGGGCAAGTTCATTGTAAGGGATCCTTCAAAATTGCTGAGGAGCAATGATGTCAGTTTGAGGAATAAGGTGTACTTGATTCAGGTCCTGGACTTTTCAATCATTTGCAGTGCATCTGAGAACTAGACAATGAATAAGGATGACGGAAGAATGAATGCCTTTGAGTTGTGGTGTTGGAAAAGAGCACTGAATAGCCAATGGATTACCAAAAAAAACCTCAAAAAGCTGTGTCTTTGGAAGACGGGCAGCCCGAGTGATCCTTAGACACAAGGATGGTGTAACTCTGTCTCAGTTATTTTGGGCATTGACAGAAAATGGCAAAGGACAGGCTGACAAAGGAGATCAATCAGTACTGGTTTTGACAAAGACTGTGGCAATATAACAGTAGAAACCTACGCTCAGGGAATGCGGCTACATGGACAACAAAAACACTCTCAGGGAATGTGGCAAAACAACAGACTCAAGGAAAACATAAACCCGATGGCTAAAATCACTGTATCCATTAGAAGGAACGTACCATCAGCTGTTTAAACCCTCTCCCTGCTAACAAAAGATATATAAACCCTTTTGTAAGATAAGAACAGAGTCAGTCTGTCCTGACCTGTTCACAGTCTGTTATGAACCTCTAATAAACCTCAGTTTTTCTCTTGCTTTCACTTGGTATTCGTGTCTTTCTTGTATTTCTGAGTCAGAACTTTCTAGTTCTTCCTCGAAGAGGCCCCTGACCTCTTTTGGAAATCATCCCTTTGACAGGCATGTTGCTAGGAGATTCTATTTCTTTCTTTTTTCTTTTTAGATTCTATTTCTTAGAAAGGGAATGCTTGGAAAGGTGGAGGGTCAGTGAAAGAGAGGAAGACTCATTGACACCGTGAGAAGCTACGGGCTTGAGTGTGTCAGAGATTGTGAAGGTGGCACAGAGTAGGACAGAGTTCAGGTCTGTCGTTCACAGGGTCACTGAGAGTTATACTCAACTTGAAGCCACCCTCTAACAGCAACAGTAGTAAAAGCTTGAAGAGATTTTCTGTAGAATCATGGATGTAAAAGACTATTTCTGGGGAAGGAAGACAATTCTCAGAAGAAACTGATAAAGGAAACTCTGTGGCAGCAACATAGAATGGATGTAAAATGCGAATCTGGTTAAAATTTGAAAGACAATGATGAGCATGTGACTGGGCAATGGAAGAAGGTTGATGGGTTTTATGTAAAAGTAAAGAACTTATATTAATTATGTTCAAATATTTAGTGGAAGGGCAAGTGAAGTGATCATTTTGGCCCTCTAGCTGATGAGATTTTTGTGCCGTCAAGCTTCAGCACTGGAAAAATCCTTGGTAAAGGACCAAAGACGGATAAGTTCCAGGCTGAAACCTTTAAGCAAGATCTTAAAAGGGGTTGTGTGGTTTTTCTTTAACACTTATAGTAAAATCCAATGGGGAAAAAAGTGAAATTAAAATTTACTGTGAGAAAGGACAAAACAAAACCAAACTCACATTTAAAGATTTGAAAAATCTTTTGTGCAAACTAAGGCCATAGGGCCTAGAATTTTCACCAGGAACATGTATGTCTATTCAATCTTAGACTGAAAAGGTCAAGCCTGGGACTGGAGGATCTCATCAGTTACCAAGCAGGACATCCTCTAGAGTAGACTTCAGGAGTCAGAGAGGAAGTAAAAAGACAAGAAAGTTGACTGCCTGCTGGAATTCTACAGGTGGGAAATAGGTCAAAGAGCTCTAACTGTTGTTCTCCAAGAAAAGTAAGGGGCCATCTCTATACATAGTTCAGAGATTCGCAGGATTGATGGAAAGAGCACAGGAAACGGGCTTTCGCTGAGTGGGAGAAGTGGGACCATCGTCTCTTGGATCTCAGAGGGTAGATCTTCTCGGTATCAAAGAGTTGAGTCTTCAAGAATTTTATTTTCGATGTGAGGCTACCATGGAGATGAGCCACAGGGATTGGGCTGTTGCCCAGAGTTGAGGGTGCAGGTCGGCCAAGCCCAAGGGACAGAAAATTGGGTTTGCCAAGGCTGAGGTTGTAAATATCAGTTGATCTTTAAATAAGATCCTGTTGGGTGAGTATTGTGGTTGTTGTTGTTAAGTGCCATCGAGTCACAGATGACTCATAGAAACCCTATGAAGGAAAGACCTGAACACTTGCATAACTTCTATCGTTTCTCCAAGTTCATAGAGTTTCCAGAGGCAAGCTCTTTCAGAAGGGAATGCCACTCCTGCTTCCAAGCTTGTTTTAATCGGAGAGCTCCACCAAACACTGTCCACCATGGGTGACCATTATCGCTTTTGACACATCAGTGTCACAGTGTTCAGCTTCACAGCAACCACGAGTTACCTCTGTACAGCAAATGGTCTCATCAGTGCTATACCACTTAGAAGAATGTTTGACCAGAAACAATTAAAACCAGGCCTGAGGGCCGCAGACTAAAATCACCCACCTTTGGCTTGGGAGCATCACATTCTGTCCACTAGGCCAACTGAGAGCTCTCTCTACATTGTTGTTGTTGTTAAGGGCCATCGAGTTGGAGACTACACTTTGGTTTGGTAATATTCTCAGTTATTGTGTTATAAATGGTTAGCATGACAACAATAACAACAAAATAATATTTTTTTAAAAAAAGATTAGAGTACATTTTGAATGTGATTTTTTTTAAAAGCATAATCTCTTGAAAGATTGGAAATTTGGAAGAAGACAATATAGCATCTTAATAAGTATGCCAAGAGGTACAGTAGTATTCTTACCATAATGAGCAAGTAACTTAAAAATGAAGACTGTACTTTTAAAAAGAATTTGAGATGGCAACTATTTTTCATGTATATGCTACTATAATAATATAAACAAAAAGAACATTATATTATACCAGTGTTAATTTTTCAGTTTTGACAAATGTACCATGGTTAAGATATTAAGAGAACACCACAACAAGATAAAAGTAAATAATCCTATAGAAAAATGGGCACAGAATATAAACAGACACTTCACCAAAGAAGACATTCGATGGCTAACAAGCACTTGAAGAAATGTTCAAAACACCTAGCTCTAAG